AAAAAAAAAATTTTTTTTTAAAATAGTGTATAAGGTTAATTTATGGTCATGGAAAGGAAATGGATAAAAAAAATAACTGTTGCAATGTAAGCTCTTCTACAATGTTCCTGAAGGATAATGTGGTAGGCAGAAACTCTCTCTTCTCAATACTTTCTACCCTAATCCCTGGGATTATGAATAAGACAAGATATAACACCATAAATATGTTACAATACATGGAAAAAGGTGCTTTGCAGATATAATTATGGTTATTAATCATTTGACCTGAAGAAAGGAAGATTATTCTGGATTGTGTGGGTGGCTCTAATCTAATAATATGGGTTTTAAAACAGAGTTTTCCTGGGTAGCAGCAGCAGAAGTCAGAGATTCAAAGCATAAAGAGGCATTTGAGACATCACTGCTGGCTTTGAAGAGGAGGGGGTCACATGCCAAGGAATGCTGATAATTTATAGAGGCTAAGAACAGTCCTGGCTGACAATGAGGCATTAAATGGGGACTTCAGTTCTACAACCTCAGGAGACCCAATTCAGCTACTGGTCTGAATGATCACGGAAGATCCTTCCCTGGGTCCTCCAGATAAGAGCCTAGACTGGCTGACATCTTGATTTCAGCCTTGGGAGATCTTAAACAGAGAACACAGCAACGACAGAAGAATAATGCAATTGGCTCAGTGCCCATAACTCAGTGAGTAGGGCACCAGCCACATACATTCAGGCTGGTGGGTTCAAGCCTGGCCCGGGCCTGCTAAACAACAACTGCAACAAAAAAATAGCTGGGCCTTGTGGTGGGCACCTGTAGTCCCAGCTCTCGGGAGGCTGAGGCAAGAGAATCGCTTAAGCCCAAGAGTTTGAGGTTGCTGTGAGCTGTGACTCTACGGCCCTCTACCAAGGGTGACATAGTGAGACTCTGTCTCAAAAAATATGAAAAAAAAAAAAGAAAAAGAATGCAATAATAATTCAGTTTAAATACCTTAAATGACTGAGAGCTCTTTACTTTACCAGCATCATCTTTCATTCTATTGGCAGTTCTAAAGATTAGAATGACCTAAAATCAAGACATCTGAAAGCCTGCAAACTTTGTTCCTCTGCTCTGGGTATTCCTCCCAAATGCAGATATGACAGTCCTGACAATATCATCACACAGCTGTCACTTGATCCGATACAAATCTCAAATTCTGCATAATTTTAAGAATGTACAGTTGTCTGTCAACATCTCTCTTAAAATGTAGTGCCTGGAGCTGAGGGCAATTCTTCAAATGCGGTCTGACTAGAAGGGTCAATTTTGACATAGGGCTCCCTTTGATTTGAAATCTATTATCTATTATTTAAACCAAGTTGTTATGTTTGTTAAAAATCTATAACCCAACCCTGATTGGCACTGAGCCTGATGTCAACTACAACCTCCAGATCAGTAGTTCTCAACTTCTTTTTTTTTTTTTTTTT